TTTTTTAAAATTGCAACAGTTTGAAAATGGGTGTATATATACATATATATGTATTTATTTCCCCTTCTTACCGAACTTATCTTCTGATGGTTTTCGTTTGATGGTCATTTTAAATTTTTCTTCACTTTCTCTTTTTTGTGTAACAATTTTGATTATTCCTATTTTGTGCATTCTTCCCATTTTATTTCTTTTTCCACACAAACATTTCGCAGTTCTTCTCCTCCAATCCTCCAGTAATTAAGTCTATTCCAAAAATACAACTTAAAAAAATTGGGTACAACATAGCTCCTTTAATACAACTGCATGAGACCTTTTTGTGTAACCAATTTTGAACATTCCTATGTCATTTATTCTTCCCATTTTATTTCTTTTTCCAATCTTGCATTTTGCAGTTCCTGTCCTCCAATTTCCCATTTATTTTGTCTGTTCCATAAAAACAACCCAAAAATTGGGCACAAAGTAGCTCCTTTATACAACTGCATGAGAGATTTTCTAAATTTCAAGTGAATCTCCTGCATGGGATGAAAAATTTAAAAGATCACTTACTGCCATGAGGTACATCATCTGGATCATCACATGACATTCTTCCTTTAGTCTCAGATGCGTACTCTACTGTTATGGTGCTGTTGCCAAGGAGACGGCCATGGAGCATTTCAATTGCATCACGGCACTCATCAAGTGTACAATATCTAATGAAGCTGTGGAGAAACAAAGCATAGCTTACAGTTATAAAACTAGGATTAGAGTGATTACTTTTATAATAGGATCACAGTGATTAGCTTAGCTGTTTTGGCTAGCTTACCACCAATTTTGTTTTTGTTAAGCTAATTCTTCTATACCTGCAAAGTTGATGAAGCATTGCATGGCTGGCAATAAAGGAATTTGAGAGTATAAGGTTCACCAGTAACTTTAATAAATTTAATTTTTAAATGACTCTGGAATGAAATGATAATTCAGATAATCTTTTTTAAGTCATGGTTGCATTATAGAGGCAGAAAAATTTATGAGGGATGAAAAAAGATGGAGAATGTTGAAATTTTTGTCACCAGGCACCACTGACTATTTTTTCCTTCTAAACAATGTTTTTAAAATGTTTTCTCTTGTTTTCTAATTTGGTTAAGTAACAGTTTTCGGCAAAAAATGGAGTAAACATAAAAAAATTTTAATTAAAAAGGATTTTTAAAACGGCATCTTCACTGCCGAAAGATTCGTAGTTATCCACTTTCCTTTGCTGTCTGATTGCGTGACGTTGAGTTCCGCCCTCGTTTGCGCGTTACCACGTGAGACGCGTGGTAGCTCAGCATCGAATCACGCGGGTTTACTCGCGATTCACTTTCGTGGACGCCATTTTACTCGCAGTTGTCAAAACACAACATCATAAACGCTTCCAACCGGTGTGAATACCCGCAACGTCCATCTACCACAACAGAATTAATTTACTGACCAGTTCTAACAAGTGACAGAGTCCAAAATATGGCCATGGAACCAAATGAATCACTAAATCAAGATCGTTTTTCCGCCATCTTGGAAAACCAACGCGCCATAATGGTGAACCAAGCAACTATTCTTCACAACCAGAACAAAATAATGCGAGGCATGGAGCAGTTGTTTGCATTCTTTCCAGCGCTTCAGAGCTCCCTTCCAATCCAAAACACCATTCCCAACACAGTAACGGTAGCCCCTCTACCAGCCAATCTGGGCAGCAGTGACAACTCGCGAGTTGAGCAGCCACCAGTTTCATCCGCCACACAACTCCCAAGTGGAGCACCGCCACCTTCCGTTTCACCCTCCCCGCGCGTGGAAAACACAACCCCCATTAACACCCCGACACGGCCTCAAGCGCCGTTAAATTCAAGCACACCATCGATGGTTGCCAACCCTGTAAAACCGCTTCCTTCCAGTGGAGCTTCTTCACCCGGCTCGGACAACGAACAAGACGTCGCACCTCCTGTGCGCCCTCCTTCGTTTCCGCAACAATACATCTCTACGGATGAGCTTACCCAGATCAAATGCAAAAGTTGCTCAATCGGCAACTTTGCAGTCCAGTTGCTGAGACATATTTTCGAAAATAATGAGTTAGAAAACAGGAATTGTACAGGCACGAGAGGGAAGGAGGCAGTTGATCCCGAACGCCTTCGTTTCGTAAAGGAAACGGTGTTTGATGTGTATGCAATCGCATCTGATGAAAAGGTGAATACTTGGAAGCACTGTGTTCGAGCAATCGACGAATTTCTAAGACGACCAAAGCGGATGGCCAAAGGCGCATTAAATAAGAGTTCTTTGTATTAGAATGAATTTGGTAACATTTCTCTTCCAAATAATTTCTTTATTTACTAAAAATCGCAAATTTAACATCTGATACCGTTTAGCTAATTAGCGAGGAGTGGGGTAGAGTAGCTATACAGAAGGCTTGTAGAGAGACAATACAGAGAGTTACAATATTTTTAAGAGACAGTTATTGTCAACATTCAACATATCAGAGTTTATGTACAATTTGTCTTCTAAAATTGTCCTTACGGCATAAATTTTTAGGCTTTGTTCACACTGGACTGGCCTTGATTGGATTTGAAACAATTATTAGAGTGGATGTGGATCTTTATGTTTTACCAATGCATTTTTCTTTTCATGCAGCCAGTATTTTGTGAGAATATTACTGTCTTTCACTTTCAGTAGTGTATCTAGCATTATTTTCTTGGTTTCCAAACAACACCATTTCAGCTTCAGATTGGAACAGTACTTTAGGACAAGTGCAACTATGAGTTTGAGATTTTCTTACAGGAAATAAGTGAGCCAGTATAAACCTGTGTTGCTCATCAATTTGTAAGATATCTATTTAATGAGTATCTCACCAACAACTTTATGTTAATTCATGTAATCCAAGTTAACTTATCCTAGAATCTAAATATCTCTTATTTGTACTAGAATCATACCCCAGCAACACTCAGGCTTTACTTGGTATCGGCATAATACTGATTCAATTTCAGATAAAAATCAATTTCAGATTAAAATCAATTCAATTTATGTTTATGTTCAAAAGATTTTGACATAATACAAATGTTTACATTTATTTTAATTTTAAGATGGCAAGGTGTGTTAGACAGACCTATCTGTTACCATTTTGAAAATGTTCCATTTGGAGTATACCTTACACCACAACAGTGTGGTAAAGCAATTTGTATAAACCCACTTTGAATTACTTGTCATTATTCAATTAATTCAAGTATTGCATAGTATTAGGAAACATACTTTAGTTGTGTTGACTTTTTATTACCAGCAAAAGAAACTACAAAGGGTGCAACCATTGAGGTACAAATATCCAGAGCCAAGATTGTCATTGGAAAATGTGATACAGTACATGAATGAACTTATTAGGCAGCTGAATTGAATTATGCTTGCATAGCAAACATGGTTTGTCTCAAAGCAACATGTCCCTCTGGGGTTTTTTTGGGGGCAAGCTCTCAAAGAAACATATGAAATTCTAAACCCTGTGAGACATGATTTCCAGCATTGTGAGACATCATTTTTCTAGATAGGAAATGTTTTTCACACTTGAATTGAACAGTTATGATAGTTATAAATATCATTTTTGTAATCTGTATGACCCTCCGTGGGTAACTGGAGGTAAAAAAAGGTTGCCCTTGGTGAACATTGGTGTTTCCACCTTCCAAGAACTTTATTTTCTGTTAGTTTGTTTTTAATCAAAGAAATTCGGAGAAGTTTAGGGAAGTAAGTCTTTTCCTGGCTTTTCTGAAGTCCTTGTTTGTTTTAATCCTGTGTGTTAAATGAGTTTTTTCTTAAATAAAAGCAGCGACAATTTATCATGTATTTATTGAGAGAATTTAATTTCATGGAGTCAAAGAAACTGAAAAACTGAAACATAAACCCGCAGCAAAATCAAGAATAACTTAATTTTTGTCTCCTTTGTTTCAATGGCATAGTGAATACAAAGGAATGTGAGAAGCAGTACTTCTATGTAAAGGAAAAGTGGAATTTTTGTTAGTAATGCTATTCAGACAGAGGCAATGATAGCCAGGTTTTGTTTGGTTTTTATTTCTTTTTCAAAGGGGGTTGGAAGGGGGTGATCCAGGATGGATGAGCCTGGTATTCCCTGCACTGAGATTTGATCAATTTTGGGTGATGTTGTCAGTGCATGGTGATTTCTCAGAACTAATCAGTTGGAGAGAGATTAAGAATACTTCAATCAAACCAAAGACAAGAAGCGATTGTCTATCAAAGAAGCATACACACCCATAAGTGTAATTTCCTCCTCTTGATGGCTGTAAATGAACATCTTGTACATTTCCAACTTCACCAAACAGCTGTACTAGCTCTTTCTATGGAAGAAAGGAAATGTTTAAGTACCACCTGTAGGGTGTGGGGGTGGTAATTGGTCAAATCTGAGACTCCCAAGATGCAGGAACCTCATAGGATTGTGTGCCCAACCTGACAGGACATGATACACAGACTAATATTGTTCACAACCATAACTCAATGTTACCCTTGGCTACCCTTGCTACAGACCCAAATCTATAACAAAACATGCCAAACAAACAGACTTTAAAAAAAATGCTAGACTTCAAGATTAATTATAACTTAAGGCTGTAATGATATTGCGATCAGTCAAAACTTTCTGAGGCCTGTAATTTTCCAAGGTACTATTTGGCACTTATAACACCAATCCTAAGACTGTTAAATGTTGATGTTTAAAACAATAAATTTTAACCCTTTACCTTTGTAATGTCACAGGGTAGATATCCTGTGTAAATAGAATAAAGCTCTTTGCGCCATTTGCTAAGTTCACGAGGTGACATGTGCTTTGTAGTGGCAGTCCATGTAGAGTCTATGCCATCATCTAAATGAATGAATGTAAAAAAAAAATGGAAATTGCAACAGCAGAAAGTAAATGTAATTTTCAAAACCTTTCTAGGCATAAGGATGGATCAAAAATGACCACAATAATGCCATGGTAGTTTCTGAGATTTTTTGGTATATTAAACTCTAATTAAAATCACTACCTGACCCTTCTTTGTACCCCTTCAGTGCAGATTACAGTTACACATTACATTTACATGTACCTTCAAATGGTTTGAAAAACAATGATATTTTTTCCTTTAGTTGATCACTTTAAACAAAAATTATTATAATAATAGATAATCTTGGCTGAACATTTTTCATAGTGTTTTAGAAATGAACATGTTTTATTCATTTCAAAAGCTCAAATTTTGGGATTGCAAGATGAAAATCTAATTCTTGGAAATTTGCTGAGTTTTCTAGCCTTTCCCTGACTCAGAACAAAGCATGCAGTCACAACAGATTTAATCAGTCCATGTCAGTTAATCATGGGTGGCTAAAAGTTAGTGTGCTGGACTCCATGTTGAGAGTCCAAGTTCAAGGCCTGGCCAGGTCACCGAGTTGTGTTCTTGGGCTAAAAAAAATTGATTTTCATGGTGCCTCTCTTTACCCAGGAGTATAAACTGGTACTGGTGACTTTTCAGAAGGGGGTAGAAGGATTATTGCATGACACTGGATTGGGTGTTAAAAATTTTTGTGACCAGTGAAAATACAAAATTAAAACCTGTGAGCTGTGAATGTTTTGCTTTTCATGAGTCCTGAACCTTAAAGTTATTCATTCGATTTTTCATGATGCATTATGTCTCCTTTTTGATGCATGTGAAATGTGAGCAGGACCCTACCTTTACTCATCCTTGTCAGGGAAGCCTGGTGAAATGCTAGGGAGGGGAGGGGGGTTGTAACAATGTGCTGGATTGGCATTCCATCTGGTGGGAGTAGTAATACACCAAGTTACTTCATGCTAAGGAAACCAGAAAAAGCGCTGCCTAAACAGGCCTCTAGGCTCAAGCACAAGCTTTTGTGCTCACTGATCATCAACATATTTATTAAAAAAATTGATCATCCTCACCACTGTCAGACAACTGCCACTGATATCTGGGTCTTGGAGAGTTTTCAAGTTCCGGGTGGGACAGTGATGAGCTTCTCTGTAATTGTGCATCTTGCTCATTTGCACATCTTGCAGTCTACAGATTTTGTGAATAGAATACAAATCAGAGGTGACCTTTTTTTTACTTCAAATAAAACATGATCATGTAGCCTGATTGTCCAAGCGAGAGTAGTCCTGAGAAGGGTTCTTGTCTGCAGAATTGACTGACAACAACAAGAGAATAAAAGCTAAGTTTTTCATTTGTCTCACAATGTAGTCATGTGTGATGCCCACAACACCAGACACAAGCCACTCTGGAAGTAGAAGTAAAGTTTATTGATCATGACCCTAATTACTACATGCGCAGGTTCAAAGAGGCAATTCATATAAGACTTCACCCTAACAACATCAACAAGGATAGTGGAATAGAAATTCCAGAAGTGTGGATGCCCACAATCAAAAAACACAACAACAGGAGAGTTGTGCGACAGCAGACCACCAAGGGAGCAAATCACTGTGTGAAACAGCAAGGATGGAAATGCACCAATCAGAGCTGTTGAAAAAAAAAACAACTAATCACAGCAGAGCATCATGCTTTATAAGATCACGCATGACCAGTCAACCTCATTGCCTGAAGAAGACGAGTGGTGTGCAGTTGAAACGTTACAATCTACATCACACGTGACTACATTGTGAGACAAATGAAAAACTTAGCTTTTATTGTTATTCACCATGATGAATAGCGACAGCTTTTTTTACGAAACAACTAGAGAATAACATTACAATAACTAATAAAAATCAAAGAGTTAACTCTGATTCCCCTGATCTGATTAGAAGTTCTCTCATCTAGCTTTTATACATTTTTGTTCAATAAAATTAAGAGAATTTGGTCTTTCATGAAGAAATCACCTTAAGCTGATAAGTATAGTTATTCTCATCTCACAACTGCTAAATAATGCACTGAAATTCCATTTGAGAAGTTACATATATACATATATAGCAGGTTCAATGGGGGTTAGCCAACTCACCCCATAGAGTGACCAGCATCTAATTTCTCTTTATAATATAAAAGCTGAATCAAACATCAAGGTTATGAGAATACAGGAAATGACCACCCACACAGAAACTTCTTGATTGTTAATCATATTCTCCTTGTCGGTATCATAGGAAATGTATGAAGACCATTATAGAGAATATACATACTGATGCTATTAGGAGTATACCCTTGTAAAAGTTCCAAGGCAAAGCTTTCCTGAAGCTTAAGCTTTTGGTGTTTCTTATCATTATGTACAATCATAAAAATAAACTTACAATTTCATTTTTGTCTTGCAGCGTCTTTGACTTTGATTTCGTTACCAAATCTAAAATGTCTGGATTCCCTTTCAATAGCCCCAGTAAAGCTTCTTGCAGTTGCCGTTTGCTTTTATTAGTAGCGCCCTCAATTATGTCGTCAAGAGTTGGCATTTTAGCTGCAGTAACTTCGTAAAATGATTTTCAGTGTCGACGATGCATAATCTAAACTTGAGAAGAAAAGCGAATGATCAAGGCGATTCAAGCTACAACCATTGGGAAAATATTTAATAAAATAAATATCTCAACGAGATTCGATGTCGGGCTGCTTAAATTGACATTTCTTTAGTTGTATAGTTCTATCCACCACCCGTTTTGTTCTTTTTATAGTGGTTAATTAGGGTTATTTTTAAATGTCAAAACAGTTTTTCAAGACAGCACTTCTCTTTGTAATGGAATGCCTTGAAAGTGTAGTTGATGATCGCGTCACATGGCGAACGGTCTTGCAAACTTGTTAGACCTCATTGCGAACCGCTGGTTTAACAAGATTTAATTATCAATATCAACGTCCTACCAATAATTCAGCTACTTTAATGCACCTGTTGTTTGAGGAGCTTTGAAACTGGTGAATGAAAATCCCTTTCACGTGTAGTATATTTAAATGACCTTAGTGCCGCTATTACACAAAGTGATCTCTACACCACATGTCACTCTAGGAAGTGACGTCACGTATTAGTCAAACGCGGCGGCAAATTTTCAGTATCTTCACATTTCAGGACTGAGCGGAAAAATTTTTACATCAGAGCTGCCTTAAAGGTTAGCTTTAAAAATATTTCTGGATTTTTAAGAGATTAATGTTTTTGAAGGACTGTAACCAAATTGTAGAGGTTCTTGAGCTATTCAGCTATGTATTTCACGCGTTTCTCGATGCAAGTCGGCGCGCTCTGCCCGACTTGTGTGAATCGCTGGGTGAACTATGTTTAATTTTGTCTTTTAAGAATTAATTCTAGACATCGTTTCTCTACAATGTTTTTTTGGATTCATTTAAATGTTAAATGATTCATTACTGGCAAGTTTGGAGGCGAGAAAACCGCTGATCGTTAATGGCAGTCTACTGGCGTGACAGCTTCTGGCGTGACTCTTAGGTCAGTAACGCAACTGAAAACAACCACAGCGGGCTGAAGCGAGGTTTTTTTCAAATATTTGTTTCAGCTGTGTAAGAATTCATCCAATTTTATCGACCTAGTTCCTTTACAAGATTTCTTTTCTCTTTCTCTTTCTCTTTATTTTCTCTGGAAAAATGTAAAGTTTCCTTTTTCAGTTGGACGTTCTTACTGGGGTTGAGTACTGTTCTTAAGAAGAGAAGCGAAATAAGCCAAAATATGGGAATGAAGTAGAAATGAGGAAAGGGAGGAAAGAAGGAGAAAATGGGAACTTGTATCAGGGAACAAAGAGAACAAAAAGAAATGGCCGTGTAATCTGAGCCTGATTTCAGAGGAGGAAGAAAAAAAATAATTCAATAACAACTCAGAGATAGATAATAATAAAATAAATAATATTTTAGGAGGAGGCCTCTAATCACCAGAAAGTGGTTTTCACGAGGGTCCTCATAAAAATTGAATTTTTTTTTTTTAATTTAAAAAAGGTGAGATATTCAATGTTTTGTTTTTCCTCTCTTTTCTTAGTTCTATTTTTTTCATTAATGCAATCCTAACAGTGCAGTTTGTTTTCCTTAGGTTGTCGACAATATTCAGGGTCTTCCAGGGACATGAATAGTCAGATCGTTCAATGAAGATTTGTTAAGCGGAAAAATTTACTTGTCTTCGTGATGCTTTTTGAGTTTTTTTTTTTTTCATTCTTAACGCTCAACTAATGTTTTCAGCAACGCACCAATCGGGCTTCATTTGCTACAGGCAATTTTTTTGGTTACCTTGGCAAGTAAGAAATTATTTGCAGCTGGAGCCGTCAATTTAGAGACCTTTGTTCGACGAACATTTGCAAGCTGCAATGTCTTTATAACATTGCTTAAAACGAAAATTGCATATAATTCTTCGTTGTTCGAACATCAAAACTTGTCTTCATTGGCCTTCTGCACTCATGTACACATCGCGTGATGTTGAATATAATTCTACGAAAAATAAACATTTGATGAACAACATTTTATTTGTGCAGACTTTGTGGCAAGGAGGCCTCATTCGGATAGCATAAACTTTACTTTTCTGTCTCTAAAAGTCGAGATTTTAGGGGGTTCTAAAGTTCATGTTTCAGAGGTGGTCCTTTTTTTTTTTCCTCAAGCTAAAAGTTAATTTTCGTACGAGTTTTTAGAAATTAGATAATCGCATTCTTTATAAGACATTAGATTTCCGCGAAAATCTGAAGTCCAAAGAGTTCACTTCCCTGCGACATACAGAAATTGACAATTAACTGCAATAAAATTTCAGTGTGTGCTATATCGTGGCGACAAAATAAAAGTGTACCTAGTCAATAAATTAATTAGTTGGTTGAAGTTTCATTTCCATGTAGGGTACTGTTTGTTTTCTTGCTTGACAGTTGCAAAATTAAATATTTTTTTCTGCGAATAGTTCGTGAAAAAGGTTTCCAAATAGCACCAATACATTAAACCCAATTAAAAAACTTACTAAAATCTGCCACAAAAGCTTGTTCATGCTGAGTTTTCCTTCCAGTGGAAGCCCTAAAGGATTCGTTTGTTGCTTTTGCATTAGAATACGCAATAAATTGGTCACCGTCGTCAATTGGTTGGCAAACAATAGAATTGTCCTTCAATGATTTCGTGGAACAGGTGCACCGGTCGAGAGTTGTCTGAATATTTTAAAAATACACAACACGCTTGTATTCCTGGGTTTTGCCCAGGCAATTGCTAGGGTAATACACCGAACTACAAGTTGGCCGTTTGTCGGAATTTTGAAAGGTCCGTTCCGTGTTCGACAGGAAGAAAAATTATCGATTTGAAGAATCGAACCCAACGGAAATAACAGATTGAGCGGTGAAGGAAGAATAGAAACTAATTTCTCTGCTCGAAGCGGGTGTTTTGAGAAATTCTTTGAGTAATCTTCTACATTACAAGTCTTCAAGGATTCTAAACAAAGCTCAAGTGTGGTGACTGCGTGAATGATGGAGTTTTTGCAGAAGTTGAAGATATCAGGCGGGGTGAATTTGAGCAACCTACGCCCTTCTCGTACGGATAGCCAAGAGCGGACGACAAATTTTAATTCGCCTTCGAGTCCGAAGCATGATTCAAAAGAAGAAGTTTCGCCTTTGCCACCGAGGGGCTCGCCTGCCGCGAAAAAGATGAAAATTCTTCTTGTTATCGATTCTCCCGACACTGATTGGTAAGCGACAACTCAGTATTATGTATAGCTGTTTTAAGATTCCTTGAAATTAATCGCTGTATAATCTGTGTTTCGTTATGAACAGAATTAGAAATCGAAGATCAAAGATTAAAATTTTTAGTTGATCTCAATTTAAATCACCCCAAAACGGATTTCTATGCTGTTCAATGGTTCTCACTGTCTGAGTATTTCGAACAAGGAGACATTTTATTTAACACTGCAAATCCAAGGTTGTGTACGACTCAGCTTCATGATTGTGTACAGAATTTGATAAAGATAACCTAGAATTATTATCAGAAAAAATGTAGCATTCCGGGTGTGAAAAGTTTTCCAAGAAACAACAGGATAATGTAATGCACGACTGGAACAATATAAAGAACCCACTAATTTATATCACGCAGAAAAAATGAAATGCACTGTAAGAATTTATTTACTCTGTGTTCTGTATTGGTTTTTTGCCTACACTAATAGTTTTGTTGTCGTTTTATAGGGCAAAGATATTTAAGGGTCGACAACTACATGGAGGAGTTTATGACGTTCGAGTTGAACAGGTTTGATAAAATCCATATTACCTTTTCGACATTGAAGTTATAAAGTACTCAAATGATACGCGAGCGACCACACGCGGAGAACCTAAATTTCTCCAGACACAGCGAAACTGTCGTGTTTACGTTTTATATTTAATGTCGGCGCCCTCGATGCCTTTTCCATCTCAATATATTAGGCGTTCTTGAGGTTTAAATTCGCAGCGATTGTTTTGAACCCAACGGATTGTTAATTGACAATATTTTCGTGTCAGGGTTTGGCAAATCGAACTGACATCGCCACTCGCATAGCGGTTGTGGTTTTCGTTTATTTTTGAACCAAAATAATCAACGAAGAGGTCATTTGCAACACTGAGTCATAGGAAGGAATTAGAAAACATTACGCTGGTTGTCTTGGAGCTTTTAATGTGATTACTTTTGACAATCGTTCGTGAGGAGATGATAGAAATTAGCATGTTGTTCCCGCTCTTTTTGCATTCTTATCTACGATGTTAAATGTTCTCGCAACAAGATCTTTTTTGCTTAACCTTTACTTACATCTTTTTTAAAAAAAGTTATCTTGCCTTGAATTAGGGTGTGATTTGATTTGATCGGAAAACCATTGCGAGGTTAAAAGGAAATTTCTTCTCGTGAAAAATTAATAAGTCGAGCTTTTCGCACCAATTTGCATGTCTAAATTTTACTGATATATCGTCATCTCTGAAAAAATTGTGATTCATTCAGAGAAACTAATGGTCTGTGGTTTTCTAAATCTTTCATTTTGTTTCATTTCATTTGTTTATTTATTTATTTATTACGCGAGTAGTCAAACAAGTGAAAATTCTCTGCGATAAAAGAGACCGAATAAACAGAATATTTCGATTTGAAGAGAAAATGCAAACGGGAATATGGCACTGAAAAAGAGGATTTTATTTAGAATAGATATCAGCCAATCATGAGGAAGGATACATTTCCATATTTGGTTTCGAGCTGTGAACTCGCGCCTTCTCAATTAGCCCCGCGTCAGCAGGGGAACTGCATGAGTCACTTTTCCCGCCTAAATCTTTTACGGTCAAATTCCCCTGCAATCTTTTTGCTCCTGTTTATCAATTTTGTTGCAAATAAAATTTCGACGATATTTGGCCTGAAAAAAAAGCTGGCTGAATAAACTCTTCGACGATTCAAAAATAAGCGGTGCTATTTTTTGTGATAAGACAAAGTTCTGTAGCGTTTAGAGGTTAACATTTTTAGCTAGAATTTGTAATTTTAGGTTTATAATTTAAGATTGAAGAAACACCGAGATGAAAGAATAAAAATAAGCAAGGGTCTACTGAGAATGAAATTCTTTAATACTCTTTGTTTTTGTATTTACAGGCGCAATTCGCAGACCTGAATCTGGCTTCTTACTCTGACAGTGGCACAATGGTGGATATCCAAGTGTACCGCGAAGGCACTGTTGTCGTCAGGTAACCACTCGTAGTCTAGAGTCTATTTCGATTGAGGCTTGTAAAACTGACCTCAGATAAAGTAATTACAATGGCAACCGAAGCTAAGTTCACGATAACCAATAAAAACACAAGGTAAAAACAATGAACGAAGCCCGGGAAAACCTGAGTGATTATCACGTAGTCGCAGTTGGTTTTAGTTTAGCACCTGATTGGATCAGTCATGCTCCGTCTGTTTCACTTCACACTTTTCACTCTTTTATTTTCATTTTCTTAAATATTTACAAGATATTACTTTGACCCGCAGATAGCAAATGATAATCGAGGCGGGTAAAGTTATGTTTCATCCGTTGAAAATAAGAGACCGGACCAGGTTTAGGAACTTGATTTTCACCAATTTGCTTCCAGGTCATTTCGCCCCGACTTCGTTCTCGTTCGACAAAGTGTGCGAGGTGTTGGACCCAAAGAAGACTATCGCAACATTCTCCTTGGATTACAGTTTGGCAACGTTCCCAGCGTGAACTCGCTCACATCGATTTACAACTTCGCGGAGAAACCATGGGTGGTAAGTTAACATTATAGATTTATTTTCAATGTTCAATTTAATGTAAAAAAAGGGAGCAGGATTGTGCGCTTTGGGGTTGATTTTGAACGATCGCTTTACCCTCTTAGTTAGTAAGACTTTTTTCTGATAAGTAGTTTAGGTAACCTCGGGTTTTCCTGTAACAAACACACGTAAAGATTTGTTTTTTTGTTTTCTTTTTAAATGCCTACAATTAAGCTAAACAAATGCTTGCAGCTATTCATTTAAAAGTCTTTCCTCATCATTAAGTCTTTTTTTTCTCTACTCTCGTCACCAGTTCGCTCAACTAATTCAGCTTCAGAAGAGACTGGGAAAGGATGAATTCCCATTAGTCGAGCAAGCGTATTATCCAAACTACAAGGAAATGGTGAGTGATACTTCTTAAATTTGTTCATGGTGGGATAAAGTAGTTTTTAGTATCAAATGTTATGTAAATGTTTTACAAGAAATTTATCTTGGCGACATGGAGTGGTTTGGTAGTTGTGCATCAAAAGTTCTTCGTTATTTTAATAAGTTAAAACAATAGCATAAACTTTCAAACTGAGTACAGTTTTATTGCAGCGATTGAAATCCCCTCCTAGAAGGGGTTTGTCTTAATACTGTAAAGCAACAATTTCTTGTCGAGTCTGTTCCTATTTGGTTAATAACCGTAACAATAAGCCTGACTTATAGACTATTTACAAAAGCTTAGTTCTAATTTAGATCCAATACATGATCTATTCGTCGCTCTCTGTGTGTTTACAACTTAAAGAACTAAATGATGACCACTTTTTTTTTTTTGAAATGAAATTTTCAAGCACTCATGCATTTTTTTAAATCGGCCTTTTGAGGCGCGATCCATCTACATTTTTTGCGGCCTTTCACGCAGTAAGAATGCTTTGCTCTGCAATTCTTCATGCGATCATCACTTCCTTGTAAGTGGCATCCTTGAATCAAATCTTTGCAGAGCTCTGGTCTTTCTTTGAAGCAGTACTTGTCAATATTACACAGGCAGTATTTTCCATAAATCCTCTTGAGCCCGCGACGTTGTTGAGCAGTGGTGTCGTTCCATAACGAGTGCCACTGGCACGATTCTATCGTCAACTTTTTCTTTCCTTTGTATGGTCTTCGGTGTTGGTTCTCTACGTAGCCGAGCAGAATGTAGATTTTAGAAATCTGAAGGCGTACGCCACAAGCGGCTGAGTCGAGCTCTGTTGTGACTTGGACAACGTTTTTCCTGCGTTTTCCCGTATCACTTTGCATCTCGGCAACGCGTTCAATTTTCTTGCCCCCCTTGAAGGCTTTGAAGACCTTGAGGGTATAAATTCTGCTGCTGTTGTCCCAAGACTCGTTCAAAACCTTAGCGCGAATGGCTGTAAAGTCAGAAATGTTTTACGTTAACAGGGTGGGCGTAACCTTCCTTAGACAATCATTAACAAAGCATCTCGTGTTTGTGGGAGTCTATTTAGCGCACTTGAGCTAACCAAGCAAGCAAAGAAGAATCAAGAATTATAAAAAAACGTTGAATTTAGCTTATTTCGTAACATCCCCCACACTGAAGGAAGGAAAGAATTATTAAACCACTACTGAGCCGAATTTCGTGATGCAATGTTTGCCATATCCGATTAAAAGATCTGTGTCCTTGACTACCTTCTCCTCATGGGCATAAAACACCGAACACTCAATTAACATCTCACTCAACGCAGTGTCTATTTTGGTCAAGGATCATTTTTTAATGGCTGGCAATGAGCCGCAGAATGTGAGAGAGATAATTTTTCTGAATTCCGTCACGAATGAATCGTCAGCAGTTTACAAGTTACAGCTTCGATGCGTAAAGGTCGAAAGTTAAGGAACCTTGAAGAGCAGCGAAAATGCGCACAACGAGAAAGAGTCCGCGAATTTTTGAGTGCGAGAGAGCGTATGGATTGGGGTTGATTCTCGTCTCACAGTTGTTAATTATCCGGCGGCCGGGGTATACAAATCTAAAATCTTAACATAAGTGGCATTTCACGGCTCACCCAGGTGCTATTGGCTACATCAAGTATCTTTTTCATTTTTTTTTTAAAACAACCCCAATCCTGTATTTCCTCTGTTTTGTTTTGTTTTGTTTTTTTAATTGTGAAGTAACGATGAGCCATTTTAGAGATTGAGTGATTATGTAGTTTCTCATAAGCTTCTTTTTCATTGTAGTGATCACAGGCTTATGCAATTATTTTTAAGGGGGCATCCCGACCACTAGGAATTTCTGCTCTCTCTTCAACAAAATTTCCGATTTCTGTGGCTCGTTGCCATTTTGATAAGGCCTCTGGCACATCGCCGTAACCTCAGATATCACACCATACTTACCTCCGGCTCGTCATTGTTGTTATTGCTGTTGTTTGTGTTTATATTTTTGAAAACCTCAATAGGGCCATAGAAATGAATTTGCTCCTGTAAATTTTGTTGTGATCACAGATTTGTATTTCCGAACCTTCCGGCCATTTTAAAATCGTGGTGATGACGGGAATTCTTACGAGCTTATTGGTAATTCAGCGGATCTTTGCATTGGGCTTACGCAAATACATTTAAGGGGGCAACCGACGATTTGAATTGCCGCTCTGTCGTGAATCATGTTTCGAGCTCTGTGGCTCATTGTCACTTAAATAAGGTCTTTGGCAAAACGCCTCAACCTCTGTTCTGTTATCACATCGTTCCTCTTAACCTTTCCGTTGCGACAGCGACAGAACTGGACGAATTATCTTACAAACGGTATTAGCGAGGTGAAGATCAAGATGCGACAATCCTGTTCTAGAATAACAAAACAGTATTAAGTTTTCTCCAATCTTGGAAAATAACCTGTTGTTAGTGTCGTCAATGTGTTTTTTTTTTATGAATTCTGTGGACAAAATATTTGTATATTTGCCAAGTTACAAGATCTCATTTCCCTCCGTGCCTCCAGTTAGGAGAAAAAAGAACTTTCATAAAGAGATAAAAGATTCAATTGAAAGAAGGAGTAAAACGGATAATCTTTTAAAATGTTGTACTGTTATCATTTCTAGACAAAGGTAATTTCACTCAGTCGAAGATTCAGTTGTTTTGTCCGAATATTTCAATTATCCAACAGTATAGGAGTAGGTTTTTTTTCCATTTCTACACCTCGCACCAATGAGAGCAAAGCTCGTATTGGGTTGATTGCGCTTGTATATTAAAAGTCTCTGCCGTCCACATTAGTAAAACAAACAACCCAGGGCATGACTAATGAAATTCAGTAAATTTAAAAATGTCAAAAAGTACATGTATATAAATCATACTGTCAAGATTTGATTGAACTGTTGGGAGCACTGGTATATCTTTTAAATGTGAAAAGATGAAAATGCGCATGAAAATAATTGTGAATGTAGATGACGGGTTTAAAATGATTACTGAACGTAATGTGGGTAGCTAATAAAAGGATATCACCTGTACTCACCAAAATCTGCGCTGCAAAATCTTGACTGCGGGTGAGCTTGAGTGCACCAGCATGCCTCATTTATGGTCACTACACAAAGGAAGATCGTAAAAAGGAAGAGAAGCACTGCCATTGGAAGCCCTGTTTTTACTTCAGAACACAGCACAGTTGTCACCGTCGTACCTCAACCTGTTTCTGATGTCCTGACCAAAAGATCTGTCTTGTATACTCTAGAAAGGAATCTTGGTAATCTACCAATGAAAAGTTTTCAATTTTTCCAATAAAATTTATTGGATTATTTTAATGAATCCGGCCAAAAGATTAATCTCATTAGTCTATCTTTTAAGTGAAGTCTAACATGAAATATTTGCCTCTAATTATGCCGAGTTCGCCGGCAGACGATGACGTATGTCAGGGACTGAAAGTGAAATAAACGAAAAAACAAACCAAACAAGGAAAGTTCTAAGTTGTTCTCATGAGCTCAGTGACTTGAATGGAACTGTGATTAACTACACAATGATTGCAGTCATTTGTTATGAGAGTTGGCAACTTTAAAATTGCTTAATTTACTACGATTTAGTATATATTACCAGGCAGTTTCTTTCTTGGAAGTGGTTGAGGATCCATATTTCGTTTTAGGTGTGTGTCATAATGTAGCTGTACCTTGCATTTTTGTGGACTGTAAAGACATATACAGAATTGAACATTTTCAGTTATTTCAGTTCTCCGTGTCGGTTACCACGCCTTTTTACCACTGAAAATTCACATTGCTAACGTCAAGTTGCTTCACTTGAAAATCAAATTCAAACTTTAACGATGTAAATGCATGTGGGAACGTGAACTACCTGTTAAAAGCTAAATAAGGAAAAAAGAGGTTATCAATAACTTCTATCAGTGACTTGCAACAGGCATCATTCTGCAACACGCCAGCAGTTTTAATTAAGTGGTTCAAAATGCCGACAAAATACCACACAAATAGTGCCCCGGTAATGATTGAAATGTATCTAACTTCCTCCTCTCTGCAGATAGAAGTGGTTCTGAAGGCCGCAAACTAATGAATCTTTCCGTTCAAGAGAAGTCAGTCCAGTTTTAATAATTGGTGTGATGGGTTCTCTCGTCACTTCAAATTTACACCGGCCTTCCAACAGATTGCATGTTTCCCCTTGTGATGACGCCAACATTTACAGAATTAAAAATCGTATAAAAGTTCCTCCTTTTTAGCAATTTTGGTGAAATGTATAAGAAAGAGAGAGTTTTAGCAACTTCATCTAGCAAAGAACAAAGAAACCCTTGAAGATTTGCTGTCGTGCCTATCATAGTTTCGATACAGGTGGTCATAGTTAAAAATATTGCATCGTTAATTGAAACTAAATGGGGACAAATTTCCTATATTACACCAAAATATCGATTTAAAACTCCATTGAAAGGTCGAAAATTACATCTTCCATGTAGTTTCGCAGTCGGGTGCTCTACCGCCTGAGATGAACTCTTTACCACAGTAAGCCATACACAAGGTTCCTAACTGACATGCGTTGCATGATCCGTAATGTCAAAAGTGTTTTAAAGAAATTGAAATTGAAAATAGAAATAATAGATTTGGAGCCAAGCTTGAGCTAAGAATTAACCCTTTACACCCTGATATCAGTGTGCATATTCTCCATACTGTTCTCTATAAATTTCCAAAGGTTTTGACGAGAAGATTTTGTATAACAATCAAGAGCTTCTTGAGTTGGTGATCATTTCCTTTACTCTCGTTACCTTAATGTGTAATTCATGGTTAGTATTGTAAGGAGAAATTACATACTAGTCACTCTCAGGGTCAAAAGGTTAAGTAGGGGAGTGAACAAACAAAGTTGCTTTAAAATCCCACAATAAACGACTAACGTAATCGTTACAAGAAGACGCCGAGTGGGTAGCAAGCTAGTAATCTTGCCACCCTGCGTGTGAATGCGTCGTTTGGCGGCGAATCTCTTTGCTTTTTTCTTTATTGTTGTTTTTGCAATCTAACAGTTCTAAACTGATTATTTGAGAATTTCATAAACTGGACCATGGCTTCTTTATTTCGGGCATATTTAAAAATATCGCGTTAGTATTTAAGGGACTTTGAGACAACTTGCCTCTGTTCAACCAAAATATCGGACCATCACCGTGGTTTATTTTGTCTGGGTCAGAAGTGCGCGTTAATAAAAGATTCGATTTAGCTATTACAGTTCATATAGGGCATTCAACTCAGTGTTAATCGCTTCAGTTCTTTCTATTTTGTGCCCAGTTAAGGAGCTAAGCTCAGGTTATAGCTTTAGTCTTACTTAGAAGTACCGACTAATCTTATAAATAAGGAACGTGGATGGGTAGGAAATTACCAAAGGCAAACACATTTACGAATCGTCGTCTCAGTCAATTTTGCCTTAAAAATACTGTAACGCGTAACTTCACACATAACCTTAAATTATCACAAATGGTACAGACTATAACAAACAAATGATAATTCCTAATTTCCTGGCTCGCGCTTTGCTACATATTTATGTTTCTTCTCCAGCTCCTATAAGCATAACGTCGCTGGGAGCATTGTCTCATTAACTGAAGAGTCATTGTATTTGTTTTGCTTTATTGCGTCCAGTGATTGGTCCAGAAAACTGGCGCTAAGCTCTCAGCCATTTAGATGAAAAACTAAATCTAATCGCGACTTGTAACTCGCGTGTTCTCGCGCCTCAGGCAATGTGCTTCTTTCATGTTTGAGCTCTCGATGGCTCGGGAACGAGGTAATCAGAATTATGTGCCGGTCGTATTATGTGATCCTCCGTGTCAGAGTATATATAGAACAGTATTCAACATAGTTTCGAGAGTATTCCGGAAATGTATTGATTTCGCTTCGAGACGATCTTTTATTGGTCTTGAAAACTCGCGCCACCCTCTCGACCAATTAGATACAAAGATAAAACCAAGTGCGACTTTGCCCCTTTTGTTTTCCCGCGCTTAAGGCAGTTTGCGTGTTTCTTCTGTGAATTCTCATTGGTTCCTTGTGATATTTCCTTTGTTCTGATTGGTCATTGTGATCACTGTGGTTTGGCTTAACGACCTTGAGTCAATTGACATTCACATAAAAGCTGCAAAAAAATTTGTGAATGACAGTAAATTTTCAACAGTCGGAACAGAATTACTCTTTTAAAATAAGATATCGTAATCAACATGTGTCACAGCTTGTCTTGAACTAATTTTATTCTTACTTTTTCAAAATGTAACTTAGACTCAACGCTACAATATTTTGAAAGACTTAGGACTAATTCAATTATTTAAAATCAGAAAAACC